AACAAGATGGCAGCTGCAGTGTAAGTCAGACTGTGTCAGACCTTCGTCCCGTAATGATTCCCTCCTTCCTGAAACAGCTCCAGGAACTTCCTGTAAAGCTTCAGGGCCGTGCATGAGTCCTCCGTGCTGTCATGGGTTTCTCCCTGGATGTTGAGGCCCGTGGACATGAAAAAGAATGATCAGAAATTATTCTCCTTTCTTTCTCTCTCAGTCTATCTTCCACAAGCTCTTCTGGAAGCTTTGCTGATTTCAAATAACCCTTATCTTCACCTTACACTCTCTTGTTCGTGAGCATGGAAGAGCCTTTGCCTGCCCTGGATCAATTGTTTGGTCTTTTTCACTTATCTTCCTAACTTAGTAGAGTTGAAATGCCTGCTCAACGAGAGAAAGGTAAGATGACATTTTTCTTGCAGACATGCTTGTGGCTCAAGAAAAAATGAGTATCTGTGTTACATCATTTAGACATATAATCCTTATGAAACTACACATTGTGAATTCAAGAGGGAAATTTGTGTCACACGCTGAAGAGTATTTCATGGTTCTCATGGAGTGGTCACTTTTATCATGAAAGGCAAATGAAACTATGCGGAGAGCAGCATCTGATGAAGGCAGTAGATTCCATGTTGGTTGGTGGAGAGAGATCCTGAAAGACGTCCACTGTTAAAAATAAGCATAAGTGGAGAGACCTGAGTATGGTTTTCATCTAAAGCTAGTCCACCTTCCAGAGGTCGTCTAACTTCCAGGATTATTAATGGTAAACCAAATCAACAGTCAAGTATCTTTTGTCATTAAGTGTATTTTAAATGAAATTCAGCTTTCTGTTGGCTAAACAGCATATAGTACAATTCAGCACCTGGAAACACAACACTTACCAAAGAATCAGTACAGTGGTAGCTTAAGTCAAAGTGAGCCTGCTCAGCACATCTGTGAAACATCCAGCAAAAATCAGCAGCACAATCACATTCAGCCAAAGATATATGTCTAGTATCTCGTGAACATGGTGGCAGAGTCTTTTTGGTGGCTGCCACTAATCTTTAGGATAACCTCCCCGATTAACATAAGAGCTGTCTGATCATTTTAAGACTGTTAGAAATCAGTTCACTCTGACTGGCTTTCAGCTTTAGCTGTTTCAGCTGTTTTATTGAGTGTTATGTTTTTATTGTGTATTTCTGTGCATGTTTGTTGATATAGTGATCATAAATGTACATTTTTTTTATAGCCTGTACAGCAGGTATTTTAAATGAGCTTAAAAAATAACCCTAGTCTTGACTTCTCACTGAGTAACAAAGGCTTCCCCTTAGAGTTATTTTTCCTGAGCAGTAAAACCTGGGCTGTAAAGAAAACATGGCAGGGAAAAAGAAAAGTGTCTGACTGCTGTCAAGTGCTTTGCAACAAGTTTTATTATGACAAGTTTTATTCACTTTAATCAGCAGCTGGATTGAAAACGTTATATTTGCTTGTAGGAGCTGCACTGAGATCAGAATAAACGCTGAATTTGTCTGTGTTGATGTGGTTTGGTCTTAGATTTTTCTTTCTAAGTTTTAAGAGGCGCTGATCTTGACTATTAAAATAATGCAAGAAGCTCTTTTTAGATACTGTTTTATTATATAATTTAATTTATGGTTGATTTTCACATTTGCTTCATTTGAAATGTAAGTGATTCTCTTGCTTCAGACGTTATATCGGTAACAATAATAGATCGTATTAAAGATGGATGTGTTTTAGGTTTTTAACAGTGAAGCTGACACAGAAGTGTCTTAAAGCTGCATTCTTTCTTATGCTACCAAGGGGCAATACCTGGCTGAAAGATTTGTTGTCCTGTCTGAAGTTGTTCCAGATGCTCCTTCAGTCCCCACAGTCAAAGCAACTGAGGCACCTCTGAGAGTTAAAAGCGGTCTTTCAATGTGCAGCTGTTCTCAGAGGTGTTACAATAAGGACTTCACCAAGTTCAGTGGAGTTAGAAGTTCACATGAATTTAGCAAGTTAGTTTCAACCTAAATATGATAAACCATGTTCTAACTAAAATGTACAGCTCTACCCTCATCATACGACAGGGAGAAGACACCAAAAACCAATATCACTCACTCATGAAAGGGAACAGCCATGGAATTTATCCATCAGGGCCAACTTTATTTAGCATCAGTAGGAATTTGAATAATGGAGGAACCTTCCTTTGGTTTTGGCGATCAAAACCAGCACTGAGCTGCTGCCTTTCTTGCTAATGTTATCGAAACACAAAAACTCCCAGGGCTTAGGTGGCTGGTAAATTAGCCAACTAAATTAGCTAACTATAAAATTCTGGCTTGCAAAAATGATTGCTAGCTAAACCATATCCTTTTATTCTCTTAACTTGTGTTTTATGCAGTCACCAACACATTGAAATCTTTATGCTGATAGTGACCTATGCAGTATTTAATCAGGTCTCTGATACATGCAAAAATATAACAAAACAGTGTTATGTATATTTTCTCACTGTTCACTGTCATATCTGTCAATAAAGTACTTGGTTGTGGTTAATATATACTGTGGTTTCCAATAAACCAGGAACTTCAGTTTCCTAGTGAACCTTAAACCAAAGGTTGTGATTTTAACAAACAAATCTATTTTCTGCCCGTGTGCACCGTGTTCACCTTTGGTTTGCTGCAATTAAACTGCTCCAACAGGAGGACGTTTTTGAACCAGAGCAGAAAAGTTCTAAAGCTGAACGTCCATCTTTTCTCTCTCATCTTTTCTTTTTATGTTTCCTGTGTTAAAAACACTACTTCTCAAAAACAGCAGTTAATATTTCCCAGCCGAATTGAACTCTAATCATTGACTAATTAAGGAATCACTGCAGCTACAATGTATTTTTTGGATTTGAAAACTGATGGAAAAAAATGTTATGCAATGTTCTAATTGTGTGAGCTGTATGTTAGTCAAGAATACACTTAGTGCCTGGAAATACGCCCAGATTTCAAAAATATTTATCTGCTCATTATAGTGCACACACACTCGTAACTGTCCTTGTGAAAAGCCCCTAGAAAGAAAAGCGCTATTGTGTGACAGTTTTAAAGCAAAAAAAGGGTGGGACTGACAAAATGTACTTGTTAGGATGCCTGGGTCGTTGACCCAGGGTTTTGAGTTTATATTATTTCTCATTTCTAGTCTTTGGTTTCTTTGTTAGAGTTCTGTCTTATGGTTTATGTCTCTATGTTTTCTAGTTGCTCTGTCTCCCCTGTCAGCTGTATCCCCTTGTCAAGTTCGCGTCTCTGTGTTATGTTTCCTGTTTTACTTTGAAAGTCCGTGTCTCATGTAAATACATCTGGTTTTGCTTCCTTTGTCTCGTTAGGCCTGATTTGCCCCAGCTGTGTTTCCCTCCTGTTATCCATTCCCTGATTGCTCCATCTGTGTATTTTAGCCCTGTGTTTCTCTGTGTCCATGTTGCGATCTACCTGTGTGTTCTGTCTGTGTAAGTATATTTTGTATTCCTAGTTTTTTTTTTGCCCTTTTGAGTTCAGCATTAAAGCTGTTTTGAGTTCACGTCTGTCTCCGGAGTCTGCACTTTGGATCCTTTTCCTTCCTGCACATAACAGTACTGGGGACTTCCCCCTTCAAGCATGAAACTTTGTATTTCATACTTTTGCTCCCTTACAAGAATAAACACAATCCTTGACTGTTGCTCATTTTTGTTCATTTTTATTGTGGCAAAAACTCACTTGACGAAAGGATTAAAATTATAAACCAGAGGATTTGGACTGGTTTTTGGTCCATTTGTGCCATTATAGTGTATAAAGCAATACTAATGAACAGACCTAAACAATGAACCAACAGAACAGGAGCATAAAGAACTCTAACTTTCGTGAAATGTAAGATGTAAGTTTCCCTGAAACAATTAATAGAATAACGTAATAAACTGAAAAAACAACGCTGAGAGTTCTTTACTGCTCTAGATAGAAAAATACTGATTGAATATGGACCATCTTTTCCCTCAGGTGTTCAGCGATGACTCACAGCGGTCCCACATTTTATAAGAATTAACATTTTAAACAGTATGAATTCTCATGTTCTTCTTTAATTTGTTCCTCTCAACAAATGTTTTCTCACAGGTGCTACAAGAATACGGCTTTTCATCTGTGTGAATTCTCATGTGTGTTTTGACCTTTGATGAGGTAGCAAATCTTTTCTCACAGGTGCTACAAGAATACGGATTTTTACCTGTGTGAATTCTCATGTGTGTTTTGACCTTTGATGAGGTAGCAAATCTTTTCTCATAGGTGCTACAAGGGTACAGCTTCTCACCTGTGTGACTTTGTGTGTTTTTTGACTTCTAATGAAGTAGCAAATGTTTTCCCACAGGTGTGTGAACTCTTCGATGTGTAATCATATTGTATTTATCCTGTAAAGTTTTTCCACACACTTCACATTGTACAGACTTGTTCTTTGTGTCCGTTCTACTTTTACTTGATGACACAGGAAGGTTGTACTCTTTGACTGTGACGTCTCTCATTCAGCTCTGTATTTCTAGTAGTTCCTGAGTCCACATGCTGACTTTCTTCATTATCTCGGGTCTCTGCTTCAGGAGAGCTGTGAGAAAGGAGCTGCTCACTGTTTGGTTCTGGTTTACTGTAGGCACTTTCCTCATAAGCGGGTGTCACCATGAAGGTATCAGCCTCCTGCTTCAGCCCAAGCTGCTCTCCCTTCTAACTGCTGCAGAGTTCCTCCTGGTCCTCTTTAATCTGTAGATTCTCTGGTTTCTCCTGGTTCAGACTGGAGTTCCTCTCCTGGTTAAAGACGTGCTGGTCTGTAAGAACCTCCTCTTCCTCAAAAGCATGCTGCTTTAGGGCAGCAGCATGCACAAAGGGGAAAAGATGATAGTAAAACAAACATTTGAGAAAATATTTACTGGTCTGAACCATTAGCAGGTCTCTACATAGTGAGCCTGTTGCTCACATATACCACTAAAATTAAAGTCTACAAACGTGACAAATTATTTGGGCACTGATGCAAATGTTTAGTTCTGACACTCTTATTAGCAAAGTTCAAAGTTCAGCTTCTTATGTCTTTGATATATAAAATAAATAGATGTTTTTTTGTTAAATGAATGTGGATGTCTGAATTGGCCGCAGTTACAAGAAGGCATGCTGGGGAAGAGCTCTCTTACACAGTAGTAAACGTTTTGGCTGTGCTTGAAATGCCATGAAAACTCTTCTTGTCTAACAAATATAACTTTAGAAACTCTGAATTCCATATTTTCCAAAACAGAATAGAAATATTTATTCATATTACCCAGACCTGTAAACTGTTCAAAATCACCATTTCCATGCTGCAGAGGAAACATAATTCTTTAACTTAAACTGATAACAGAACAAAATGAATTTTGTGTTGTTAACTTTGTGTCTCTGTGTAGATTTTGTCTGACCAGTGAGTGAAAATTTGAAACCCAGATGTTTCACGTCTTTCATTCTGGTGAATTTTTACGTACTAATTTTCACCGTTTTGCACAAGTTAATGGTGGAAATGTGTTTAAATAAAGAACAGAAAATCAGGCTGAAGAGATTCATTCATGTTGCTTATTACTTTTTGACCTTCAATTCTCTGACAGTTCATCAGTCTGTCGGAGGGTCAACACAGAAACACAGACAACTATTCACACTCATATTCACACCTATGAGCAATTTAAAATCACCAACTAACCTAACCCGGCTGTTTGTATGTCTCTGGATAGTGAACAAGGGGAGAACATGCAAACTCCACACAGAAAGGCTTGGCTACTTGGTAGAGTCAAACTCAGGACCTTGTTGCTGTGAGGCAACAGTGCTAACCACTGGTCCACTGTGCTGTCTGTGAGTTATATTCACTTTTATTAAATCAACACAGTTTTACATACCCATTCTGTGTAACTTTATCACAGGTTTCCAGATGGTCTCCAGCAGTCTGAGCTGCTTTTTATCAGTCCAGACAATAATGCCTTTAGCCTCCTGCTTCAGCCCAAGCTGCTCTCCCTTCTGACTGCTGCCAAGTTCCTCCTTTTCCTCTTTAATCTGTGGAGTCTCTGGGTCCTCTTGGTCCAGACTGGAGTTCCTCTCCTGGTTACAGACCTGCTGCTCATCCAGATCCTCCTCTTCCTTACAGTCATGTTGTTTTGGGAGGTCTTGAGGAATAAAGAAACACAAGAACAATAATCACTATTGTGTGATACAAAAACTATATATTTTTTATATTTAGTGATTGTTACGGCCCTAGCAGGGCCTCCTCCTGAAGGTGCCTGTGTGGGAGTGTCCTTCAATCGCTTCTGCTTGAGGTGCCACCTTTCCCTTTTACACAGCTGACTCTCGTCAGTAATTAAAGGTATTTAACCCCAGGAAAAGGTGAGCTCTGGGCCAGAGTGCCATGTGAGTGGTTACAGCTAGTGAGCTGAGAGTTTGTGATGTTTGCCGCTAGTGAGCTGCTCTCTTTCTTTTTGGCTTACGTTTTACTTTATTGACCAACGCCTGAGTTTTGTTTGTTTTCTTAAATGGTGATAGCGGCTCTTTTAGTTGAGCTACTTTAATAAAACTGTTTAATTTAACCCTTTTGCCTCCTTGACTCTTTTTCCTGACCCGGACACTTTTTGTTACTTCCCCCTCACCGCCTAGACCCCTCAGGGGAACATAACAGTGATATAAAAACTAATATTTTTAAAAGCATGAATCAAAACCCAAGAAATGGCGATCAGCCTATCATATGACCCATTATGAGCCACACCCACACACACACACACACGAAAGCTCAGGGAAATAGTTGTGCACACTCACAGCAAGGATCCTCACTGTGAGCAAAGACACAAAGTTCACCAAACTAAAATGCAATGTGACCACCATGAAAACATCAGTGTGTAAAATCCTTTTTTAAATGAAGCTTCACTTCAACTTCAGAGAAGGTTGTTAACAACGTGTTAAATGTGTATTCCACTGACATCTAACTATATTTTACTGCACAATCTCAGTGTTTACAGATGATCTAAAACACTAATGCCTGATGTACTCAACATTGGAATCTGTTAGAGAAAAAATTTAATAAATAAATGAATTAAAATGTATTAAAACCTAACCTATCAGTGACCATCGACCTGCACCAGTTCAACATAGTCCATCACTGAACATTGAACTACAGCACTGAGAAATTCAATTTATTTATTTATATAGCGCCAAATCACAACAACAGTCGCCTCAAGGCACTTTGTACAGTGGATTCTACAATAACAAATACAGAGAAAAACCCAACAATCATATGACCCCCTTTGAGCGAGCACTTTGACGACAGTAGGAAGGAAAAACTCCCTTTTAACAGGAAGAAACCGCCGGCAGAACCAGGCTCAGGGAGGGGCGGGGCCATCTGCTGCGACCGATTGGGATGAGCGAAGGATACCCAGTTTAACATATTCTAGTAAAGCTAATCACACTGAAGAATCTCAGCTTCAACAGCACATTGTTAAAAACATGTCCATACCTATGATGTTTGAGTTTCTGTCAGGTTTCCGGTTGATATCCTGTCTGCGTAGACGGTTGATCTCCTCCTCATACTGGATGATGGTTTTTTGAACCTCTGAGAAGATTTCTTCATAAACAGCAGTTAGTCTCTCCTTGATGAACTCTCTCAGATACTGTACTGAACTCATTGCTGCTTCAACTGAGGCTGGGCGGATCAATACAAGCATCAATAGAAGTGACACAGATGTTAATATTGGTATCAGATCCACACTAACTTGACGGGATCAATACTTTAGCTTCTGTCTCTTCTCTAGGTTCAGTCCGCTTCATCAGCAGCAGCTATGTCTGCAAACACACTGCTCCACTACCACAGTAGTGCTGTCCTCCTCCCTTCTTCTTTGGGGGTTGATGGCGTTTGACATATCAGCTTACAGATGCATTTATCCCACCTTGGACTGGAGTGTGAACAGGAGACTAGCAGGGAAGACAATTATATTCTTTCATCAGTCTTATAATTCAATAGTACAATTTTCCATTTATGCCTAGATTTCTGGGTTTAATGTTTTCCATAACACGTTGTATGCCTGTATTAAAGAAGACAGCTATCATCATTTCCTTATTTGTTTGAGCTTTCCTGATTTCTGATTCCAAACATAATAAACTAATAAACTTTCCATCATCCCTTTCTTTATGAAACCCATTCTGATCCCCAGAGAAGAGACTGTTAGTATCTAAAAATCAGGTTAATCTGTTTTCTTTTAGAAGTTGAGAAAGAAATTAATAGATTACCCACAAACTGAACATGGACAGGATTTACTACAGTAGTTGAAAAATCCACTGGAAAAGGCATGAGATTATAGGTTTCACCTCTCGTTCGCTCTTTCCCTCCGTGCTCTGTGCGCAGGCTCACACTGCACTCACCCTCCCCCGAGCTAAACATCCAATCACTGTTAGTATGCAAATGACCCTGCATCAGGTTTCTCATTAGGAAGGGCTTTAGGGGTTATTTATTTGAATTAGACTAGCCAATTAAGATACATTTTATGTTGTTGTTAGTAAAGATCTTGATGGACATGTGATTTTATTTTTTATTCTAGTTTTCAGTTTTATTTTTCAAGCTTTGCTGAATTTCCTTTTTTTTTTTTTTTGTTTAAACTTGGTGTTAAGGCCCCTGGTCTCGGAGGAAGTGGCCGGCCATCCTGTAAAGAAATCCAAGCGTGCCAGGACTCACAGACAATTGGCTGGCTGGGGACCCGTGCCTGCCCACTTGCATGTAGATCTTAATGTGCCAGTCCTCAAGACCATTGACTGCCTGGGGATTTGTGGTGCTCCAGGGACCAATGAAGCGACTAACTGTGTTCACTGTGGCAACAAAAGCCTGAGGATCCTTCACTCAGGGGAAGACTATGTTTTTGGACTGAGCAGGCAAGTTGTCCCTCTTGCCTCTGTCCTTGATCCCCGCTTGCCTAACTCAGGTTAAGCGTGGGAGTTCTGCCTGAGTAGCCTTGAGATGTGTTTCTGCCTGAGTGGCTAGTTTTCATTTGTATTTGAACTGTGAGAGTTGTTTTGTGTTGTTTAATTGCCTAGTGATTCGCTGTAAGCTACACTAACAGTTTTCAGTTCTGTGTTTGTAATAAACCCTTTTCTTATATTGACCTCCCTTGTGATGGGCTCGTTTATGTTACCTTCCATGGCCCCAAGCCGGGTCGTAACACTTGGCCTAACCTTATTAGTTTTGTTAATATTGGCATTGTGTTAATGTCATATTTGATATAAGCTACTCTGCATTTATTAAGGCTGTTGTGTGCTTAACATGTTTTAATCCTTTGTATCTTGTTTTATTTAATCTGAACAAGCACCTAAAAAAAGACGGTGATCTCTGTCGGCCTCTCTCGGTTTCATTGCCACCATTCATTTTAAAGCTCAGTTTTTAAAACCTTACGATGTAACTCCAGCCCAGCCGATTGTTGTTCTGCTAACTGAAGTTTGGTCCTTTTACAGCATCCTGCCATGTGATTACATTTATCCCTAACCATCGGGAACCCTCACGTTAACTTTCATCAAGTGGAAAACAGTTAGCATTCATCTTCCAGCTTCACTGTGTTTATATTATGCTAAACATAGCTGTGCAGCTAACCACCATGTAGCACATCATTATATACCAGCTAGCCCAACTTCAGTAACCCAACAAACATCACTGCCATTTAGTTTTCTCTCTTAATTTATGTCACAAGTGATAGCAGAGCTGTGTGTTTTAATTTTTCCAGAAATCCCTCAGTCAGGGTTTGCTCACCACCATAAGCTTAGCCTTCAGTTGGACAACCCAAGTTGGTCAGATCTTAGGGTAGATCCTGACAAAGTGCAATCCATTTACATGACCAAAACTGTAATCCAGAGCACCCCACCACCACCCCTTTCCCGCCTCAGTTGCCATCATGTGCCCCCTTTACATTTCTGTCTGCCCCCTCATGTATGCCTGTCTAGAACCGGCTCAGATAGCACTCTTAATCTCCCAACATGCTTATTTATTGGTGTTGTTGCTGAATCTGGTTCCACTCACCAAACGATGGCCATTCTGGATTTTATGATCACTTGAAATCCCTCCTCCCATTATCTTATTTCACCTCTACATCATCTCTCCCGCCATCTACTTCTGCTCTCCTTTCACTTCCGTCACATCACTTTCCCGCCTGCTGTCCAGGCACAGCCTAACCGGCCAACCGCGCCCCTCCCCCTCCACTCCTGCTCTGCTGTGAGTTGTTGTTGTATGGCCAAGTGACTAAACAGACGCCTTTGTTTGTTTGTTTTTGGTTTACAAAACTTATAGAGACAGTGTAAACAGGTCCGTACAACAAATCTGCGACATTACCCACAAACTGAAAGGTTAAGAAATACACTTTATTAACCTTGTTATTGATACAGTATTTATTACAGGTGCTCCATGCATTCTCCTGCTGTATATCATTAAGCAGGGCTGCCCGTTTGTCACCTATTCTGTTCGTAATTATTTTTATGGACAGAATTTCTGGGCGTAGCCAAGTGGCGGAAGACTTTCACTTGGGTGGTCCACTTCAGTCTTCAGCACTTCCTCAAAACATGAAGAAATCCTTTCTCCTTACAAATATCTCAAGGTTTTATGACAACATGATTCTTTGATTAAAATTCATTGTTTACGTTTATTGGTAAATATTGACCCTTGAACCACATCTTAACACTTCAACAACACTGATACACACTGGGAATGTATATGCCAGTGTTGGTGGTCATCTCAAGTTCACCGTACAGATAAATCCTGTGAGTCTTTGGCACACCTTTGCGTTCATTGAACGTCTTCTTCCTTTTGATCAACTGATGGTCAAGTGTGTGGTGTTCCTGTGGATAACCAATCCTCCTGACATCACCACCGCGTTGCTTTTATAGGACAATATGTCAAAGGAAAAATGACACAACAGCAACAAAGACAAAACAATGTTTACAATTAAATACATGAAATACTTTTAGGTTCATGGTCATTCAGCTGGCCAAAGAACCCATCTACTTATACAAAAATGATAAGGCTGTACGATGAGTGATGGCTCAGATTTTAGTATAAAAATGTGAATTCTGTTTATTTGCCAAACAGTTTTCTTCTTTTAAACAGTTTTTTTTGGCCGATTTAAAAACACTTGGTCTGATAAAGTTCCTCAGCACTGTACATAATCAAAACTAACAGTCAAATAAAACTATCATGACTTTTATAAAAGTTTAATTGTACACATTTTCAGAAAAACACAAACTTGTCAT